GCCCCACAATCAGTTCTGCCCTCGTGTGTCCTGGATGCTGGAGCTTTTTCCACACATTAAATCACAAAACAATGCTTATCCCTAAGAGACTTTTTTGGTTTCAACTAGATTAGATATTGTTCCAGGGTATGCTCAACAAACCAAAATACTTAAACCCTGTTTGCACGAGAACAACCTCTGGAAACTTTAGTGGTTTTTCAATGTTTATGAGGGGTATTGAGGAAAAAAAGAGCAGGTTTACACGAAAACGCTGTTGTTTTCATGTCAATCGGGTTGCCAGATAAGAAATTATAAACTATAGTACTGTCACTGTAAAAAGATAGTATTTTGACCTAAACTGTCGATTGTGCTGAGTAAAGATATTCTAAGATGAGGTGTGTGTTGTGTTTGTTAAACATGTGTACAGAAGAGGGGGTAAATAAGACATTTTTTTTATTTATCTGGCAACCCTGATGCTCAGCTGCATTCATTGTGCATGCAACATCTGCGTGACAGTTACAGTATGTCCAAACTGGTGAATACACCGTCTCTTTAAGCCCTGGAGTGAGCAGCACAAAAACACTCTGCTCTCTGCCGTTTATTATAACTGTTGTTAGAGCAGAAAAAACTTTGGACTGCACCTGTCTGTAACGTGCACGTGCCACTTTGCACTTAAAGAGGATTTCACACCTCAGTGGGGGCTTCCCCCGAAAATCTCCACTCCCGAGACATGGATTCAGAAAACTTCGTTTTCAGAGAACGAGGCTGTTGTCGTGTAAACGAACGGCCGAACGTTTCACGGCGTGTAAACGAGGCCTTCGAATAGCGTCCTAATCTTTTGATCACTTCCCCGTTTGTGTTTAGGCAGATCCAGCTTGAAAAGTGTACTTTAAGAACCCATCTATGTGCACTACTTAGTGGAGCATGTCTACATTAACCATGCAACATTATAAAAAATAAGAACATGCTAAGCTTTACTAAAGATTCTCTAATCTGTAAAAAAAAACATACAGTTTAGTTTCAGTTACCAACCTTGAGGCAATACAAACAATAAAAAATAGGGAATTGTTGTTCAGGTTTCTAAGGCACTAACTGTTCGCAAAGAGTTTTAAACTTACAGTCCACATGAAACAAAGTGGGCGTGGCCAAAAAAGGCCAAAAACATGCATGTTAGGCTTTCAGGCCCAGGCCTCAATGATCTCAATGGGATTTGCCTGGTTAAATAAAGGTTAAATAAATAAAAAAAAGTAAAAATAAATATGTAAAAATACTTTGGAAAGTTATTTAAAATTTTCAGTTTTTCTTGTTAAAAGCTGTAAACGAGGCGAGCAAACGCAGCAGAAGTCTTTTGTTTTTAAAAACATTGAGAGTTTTGTGGACAGTCGGGTTGAGTTAATTTGCCCCCCAAAAAATTTGATGCATTTGCTGCGACGTACAAAAGTCTGACAGGACTAATTTTTACTATCCTAATGGACAACACCACAATGCATTCAAATCTCTTCACATAGACCAAAAAATAAAATGACAACGAAAAAATAATCTATTTTTAACCAGTCTGTCTCGATGATAAACAACTACAAGATTCGTTATGTGTTTGTAAAAATACAGCTACCTTTTTCCAACTTTGGTTGCTCCCATTAAATGTTGCAAAACCATTCATCTTATAATTTATCGTTAATAAATAAATCTTTACAGTTTATTAGCTCTGCTTAATGTTTAAATTCAAATGGCAGAGCAGAGGAGTTTAGAGAATAGTTACAGTTTAGGTATTCAGCCTCCCAGCTTGACTCATGACTGCCCAACAATGACATCTTTGTAGGCTGCCTCAAAATCAGAGAGCACCAGAGAACCTTGTGAGCAGAACTTTATACTAAGAAATCTGAGTCAAACTAGACAAATGTCATTTCCTGTGAAAATGCAGCGTGAATGCTTATCGCTGAATGGTTTTTGCTGAAAGCTGCTGAAGAAGCTGAAACCAGCTGAAAAGGTTTCATCTCGAAACTGTTAATACGAGTGGAATTTGAACAGCTGACATTTGATGAAAGCAGGAAAAGAAGAGCAGAAAGCAGCAGAAAAGTGTAAAAGATAAAAGCTGAAATGAGCAGAAGAAACTGAAATAGGCAGAGAGGCTGATTAGACTACCAAAAAATGGACATTAGCAGAAAAAGTTTAGTAGAGTTTAGTAAAATTTGTAAATAAGAAGCTGAAATTAGCAGAAAGAAGCTGAGAAAATCTAAACCAGAACTACAGCTGAAGTGAGCAGTAAAAGGTTGTAAACAGCTCGAAGGGTTTGAAGGATGTGAAGAGCTTCATTCAGTTTCAATGAAAATTCATCCATCCATTACCTTTTTACCCATTTCTTCCATTTTGGGTCATGGGGGTCGCCGGTGCCCATGTCCAGCTATCACTGTGCGAGGGGCGGGGTACACCTTGGACAGGTCGCAAGTCCATCACAGGGACACATAGAGACAAACGAGACAAACAACCATTCACTCTCTCACTCACACCTAGGGACAATTTAGAGTTACCAATCAGCGTAACATGCATGTTTTTGGTCTGTGGGAGGAAACCGGAGAAAACCCACGCATGCACGGAGAGAACATGCAAACTCCACCCAGAAAGGCCCCCGGACCGGGATTTGAACCAGGGACCTGCGCGCTGAGAGGCAGCAGCTCTACCAGTTGCGCCACCGTGCTGCCTTCAATGAAAATAATCTGGCCAAAAAAGCTAACTACAGGAGCACAGCAATACTTTGAATTTCGACTTTCGTGGGTTTTCAATGCAAGATTGTACACATTGTTTCCCGGAGGCCTGGCCCACTCAGTGATCACAGAGGGGCCCCCTCCTTTCTATTTCTGAGGATGTCTGTCACAACAGAGCAGAGAAACACAACAGGCAGGTGTGCATCCTGTGACAGACAGCCTCAGAAAGAGAAAGGAGGAGGCGGGGGTGGGGGGGGGGGTCTGTTTTTCCCCATCACTGCTGTGGGAGCTTCATTGAGGCGGATACAAGAGTAAGCAGTACGGATTGTTCATTTTATAAATAATCAAGCGCAACCCAAACAAAGCCTTAACCTGAACCAAGCTGACCCAAACCCAGTGCTCCTTATGGCCAGTCCACCCCTGGGATTGGCTCAACCATAGCAACAGCCTGTCTGCTCTCTTTCGCTGTGCTATTTCAGAGCGTTTATATCATGATTCTGCTCCCTCATGTCACGTTTCTGCCTCTGTCATTCTGCCACGCCCACTCTGCATCACAGCTCAATCAGCATTCATGCCCTGCACCTGTCCCTGCTCTATTTAACAGCTCCATTCACTCAAGCCCCCTGCCAGATTATCAAACCTTTTGTGGTAGTAGATATCCAACGTTATGTCCGTAGCCTGGTTTACCTGCTTGGTGTTGACCTCATGCCTGCTCTTTGGACTCCCCATTTTGCCTGCTCCCTGTCTGTTCTGGATTTGCTCTTCTGACCTTGGTATCAACCCAATCCTGCCCTAACGACCCCGCCTCACGACTAACTTGGATCTGGATCTCTGACCTCCTGTGTCTAACCCCCGCTTGTGACTCTGGACCCCCCCTCTTGGATTTCTCCCCTAACAACGCTCTGTTCGGCTCTGCCTCACTCTTCACCCAGTGACACTGACGTCTTCACATCCCACTCACTCGGGTGGTCCCTCCCCCGCCTGATGGTGAAGGGTAGTGGTTGTCTTCCTCAAACCGATTTTATGTGGTACATGGCGTTCAAAAATCTGTCAAAACAAACTTGTTACGCTTGATGCGCCTTATTGTCTGAAAAATATGGTAAGTATTCACCCAATTAAAGGAAGTGGAGCATATTCAACCTGACAAGTGCAATAAGGCAGTAATCATACGCTGTTTATTGTAGTGAAAGTGCTTCCTGCATAAATCAGGCCTCAAAGTCGGGTGCAGGCTGCCATTCTTCTGAAGAGAACACGAGGGGAAATGAGGCACAACGTTCCCTGTGAAGGGATACAACAATTTGTTGTTGTATGATGAGATGAAGGCAGACGACACAGGGGGCTCAGGTGCAGGCTGCAGCTGATAACGGAGAAAAGAAAACACGGTTTGTTCCCCTGTTTGGTCATGGAACGACAGAGGGACCCAGAGTGAGGCATCAGTGTGAGAAGAAAGGCGAACAGCTTAAAAACAAGCTAAATCACATGTGACAGGATTACTGTACTTATGATGACTTGTAGTTGATCTTTTCCCAGACCTTGACATGTAAACCAAAGTGTCTGATTTAAAACAAAGACTCAGGAGTAGGTCTGAGCATCATTCCAAGTCACGAATGCACTGAACTTATCCTTCACTTAGTCCTGATTATCTCTCCCAAACACATTCAGCTCCAGCAGCTTTCTTCAAATCACATCATCAAAGCACCAACACATTTTAAAACATCTGAATACACTCTTTACCTGCTGATTTTGTGATTTTTGCATCACCATGTTAAAAACAAGAGCTTTAAGTTGCGATCAAAGAGAAAACATTGGTTAAAATGTACGCGTCTATGTGCAGTATACGTTCACATTTTCTTGAAACATGGGCCCAAACACAGCAGCGCACTCGCAGCGCAGGACTGGATCAAAGAGTTACTTTGTGCCTCAGCGCACAAGTCTGCCTTTAACTCCAGGAGTTCCAGGCAGACTTTGAGCCTTGCTGGCTGACTCGGAGAACATCGAGGTTGGGAAACGCCACACAGATTAGAATACTGGTGAGAAAAAAAGTGATAGACGGGAAAGAAAAAAGCACGTTGTGGCATGGCTGGGAAGGAATAAATGGTTAGAAGCATGAATTAATAAGTCCACAAGAAGCTTTGCCCTCTGAACTGCAGGGGACGTTTGATGTTCAGACCAATATACAAGAATCATGCGGGTGGTGATCGTGGTCTCAAACATCTGTGCTTCAGGAAGTAGCTCTACTTTGTTTTGTGATCCTAATATCATCCTTAAAATAAATTAAAACTGCACATGTACAAACAATATATATTTAAGTGTTCTTACTAAAGAGAGGTCCTCTGTTTCAGCCCCCAGGGACTGGCTGAAATCTTCGACCCTTAGAGGAAGACTCTCCTCATCGTCCTCTTCTTGACTGGGTTCCTCCCCCAGAGCGGGGAAAACGGAGAGTCTTCCCACCTCGGCATCCACGATGCCATCAAAACTGTCTGTCAGCGCGGCCAGCAGGGCCGCATTCTCCTCTTCTATCTGGTGGGAATCAGAAACCGTAAAAAAGGGTAAATAAATACAATAAAATAAAAAAATATTAAACACAGCAGCTCACATATTTGAGTTTGGATTAAGAACAGGTATAAAAATAATAATAACAATTATTATTATTAACATTATGCATCTGATCACATCTGAACGTTTATTTGGAAATGGTTTAATTGGAGGTGTTGCGATAAACTGGTCACATGCCCGGGGGGAGCCCACGTCTCACACGATGACAGCTGGAGATCGATACCAGCACCTTACACTCTGAACATCACGCGGGTATTTTAAACATAATATATGCACGGGCTTATATTAAGAGCAGTGCCATGATGCTCAGAGCTTTGATCTGATGTGATCACGTACGATCGATAGTTTGGCAGTTAAGTCAAAAAGCTGTTTTATTATTTGATTATACGACAGATGACTGGTGCCATTATTATAACTGGTTTAAGGTTAGATGGACAGCGATTTCTGAATATTCATATTCAGTTAAATATTCAGTTTAAGCAGTTTATTCAGTTTACCCCATATTCAGTTGGGGGGGGGGGGGGGGGCAGCTTAAGTAGGGAGGCCCAGACTTCCCTCTCCCCAGCCACTTGGGCCAGCTCTTCCGGGTGAATCCCGAGGTGTCCCCAGGTCAGCTGAGAAACATAGTCCCTCCAGCGTGTCCTGGGTCGTCCTCTGGGTCTCCTCCCAGTGGGACGTGTCAGGAACACCTCACCAGGGAGGTGTCCAGGAGGTATCCTAACCAAAGATGAGGGAAGGAACGTAGATCGACCAGTAAGTTGAGAGCTTCGCCTTTTGACTCGGCTCTCTCTTCATCACGACAGACCAGTACAGCTTGCGCTTCACTGCAGACACCGCACCTATCTGTCTATCGATCTCTCGCTCCATTTTTCCATCATTCGTGAACAAGACCCTGAGATAATTAAACTCCTCCACTTGAGGCAGGACCTCCTCCCTGATCCAGAGAAGGCACTCTACCCTTTTCCGGCTCAAGACCATGGCCTTGGATTTAGAGGAACTGGTCCCGGTCACTTCAGATTCTGCTGCGAACCGCTCCAGTGAAAGATGTAGATCACGACCTGATGAAGCCAGGAGGACCACATCATCTGCAAAAAGCAGAGAAGCGATCCTAAGGCCACCAAAATGAGTCCCCTCAACACCTCGGCTGCACCTAGAAATTTTGTCCATAAAAGTTATGAACAGAATCGGTGACAAAGGGCAACCTTGGCGGAGTCCAACTCTCACCGGGAACAAGCCTGACTCGAGCTAACGATACATTAAAAAAATAAAGTGCTAATTTCCACCATGTTACTCAGCTCACGCTCAAAACGTCTCTAGCACTTTGAAAGTTGTGTTTAAATACTGCATGACCTTTACATAAACTTGTTGCTTTTTTTTCTCATCCAATAAACTTGATTGTGTTGCTGCAGAATGTGGAACAGACAAAACTCAATATTGACGTTTCTCCTATTCTTTATCCCTTTTTTCTGTAAATTCTGATTCTGTCAATTAAACAATTCCAGCACTTTGTTGATAACCCCCCTGCTATGATGAGTTTTCCTTCATAAAATGAGTTTTACTCTTTTAAGTACATCTATTTGTAAAATTAAAAAGGCTTTTAAACTTTCATCTTTAAATGTGAGGAAGTTCGTCCTACAAAAGCTATTCACTCTGTGGGAAACATTTTGGTCATGACTCATGAAGACGGATGGAAAAGAGCCTCCTCTGGATAATTTATACACCTTGAATACATCTGGACTCAAATCAAGACATCTTTAGACAAAAATATTAGTTTTAAAGTTCCCTATCTAGCCAAATACCCGTCTGCTCTATCATCATCTATTCAATCAAACTGTCTTTTTTCTTTAATTTTCCCAGTTGTTTACACAGATCAAGACATCAGCCTGACCTTTGACTTTTATCTTTAGAAACACAAAGTTGTGTAGAAACAGTTCTTGTTAAAAATTGATCAGAGGTCTTCATTCATCAGAACTGACGTGATTTATTGTGACTTTACACAGTTTTAACACTGTGAATGTTGAAGCTTTCACACTATTGTGATCCATTTTTGTTCCGTACGGTTTAAAACGTGATTCTCGTCCCGCAGTTTCCAAGCTATTTCAACAAATCATAATCAAAATGTTCAGCTCTTTCAAGACAATCCTGCTATGACTTATGGTATTGGTGCAACTTTAGCTTTTTGAAAGATTTAGCCTTTTCAGCCACTTTTTTTTTATTATAGAAAATGAATTTGAGTTCATTTTACATCCTTCAAATCTTTAGATCTGTTTCAAACCTTTTACTGCTCCTTTCACATTTTGTTCTGGTTCAGATTATTTCAGCTTCCTTGTGCAAATGTAAACATTTCTTCAGCTACTTTCAGCTGTTTGTGCTCCTTTCAGATTTAGCTCGTTATTCTCTTTACAGCTTATTTCTACAAGTGTCATCTTTTTCTATTATTTCAGCTACTATATGTTGTACTATATTCAGGTCTCTCTTATGAATGAGTCCCCGAGGCTAAATGGGATTAACCTGTGTAAATAAAGGTTGAATATGTATACCTGTTTTATGCTAATTTAATTATCAACTAATTCCACATTTTTTGCACGCATTTCATTTTTTTTTAGCTAATTCAGCAAAAAAATGTGCTCTCTCTACTTGTGGTAATGTAAACTTCTTTTTAAGCTACGTTTCTGTTTATTTATTTATTTTTGCTAATTCCCGCAGTTTTCAGATAATTTCCACTTTGTGGTGCTCATTTCTGCTTCTTTCAGCAAACGTGATTGTTCTGCTTTTTCCTGCTAATTTAAGCTTGTTCTACCTTTTCAGCTACCTTTTTTTATTTATTTTTATTTAGCATTTTTAGCTAATTTCAGCTGTTTTCAGATAAATTCAAGTTTTTCAGCAATTTCCGCTACTCAGCCTGATTAACTTCTTTCTGCAAATTTAAGACAGTTAGGCTCTTTTCAGCCTTTTTCTGCTATTTCAGCTACTTTTTCTCTGTTTTTTCCCTTTCTAAATTTAGCCTTTTTCAGTTAATTCTTTTTTTTTTTAGCTCATTGCAGCTCCTTCCACGTCTTTCTGGTAGCTTAAGTTTCTTTCTGCCTTTTCAGTTATTTTTCTGCTATTTTTGCTAATGTCAGCTTTTTTAATCTAAATTCATAAATTATGTGCTAATTTCTGCTTATTTGAACATACGTCAGCAAATATGTGTTCATTCTGCTTTCTTCTGCTAATTTAGGATTATTCTTCCATTTCAGCATGTTTTAGTTAATTTCAGCTGTTTTTCAGCAAGTCTTCAGAAATAAGTGTTCACGCTGCATTTTCGCAGGAAATGCAATTTTTCTAGTTTGCTTTGCTTTTTCTGCAGTTTTGCAAGTATTTTTCTTTCCTAATTTTGATATTTTTTTTTAAACCCCATGCTGTTTACCACTGAGGATTCTCCAAGTGGCTGCAAGCAGAGTCTGGTGGAGAATTGATAGCACGGCTGGCCTGCAGGAAGCCACAACGTTTCATTCATCTGTCTCTCCCTTTTATCATCCAGCCTCATCTGTCCCGCTCTGCCGAAGCATTTATCATAAAATGTATTCTCTGTCTCGGTCTTGCCGCCTCTCTTCCTGGTTGTTCAAGTGTTTGAAATCATTCAAAGTAAGTCAAAGACAGGTTGCAACAAGGCAGCACGAGTTTAGGAGCAAACAGGTTTAATGAAGCGATTACACGTCATTAAAAGTTGATTTAGTTGGATTTTTTTTGTTTTGTTTACCGGTACTTGTTGCTTTTTAAACAAGTACATCACCATCAACAATTTAATTATTTCTCATGCAAGGCTTTAAAATGAATTTTCTAACAGAGACACTTTACTTACTAACAATATGCTTGTGGATTCAAAAGACCATCCTGAATATGTCATATTAAAAACACAGCCTGGAGGTAGAAAAACTGTGTATTTCAATGTATATGTATAAACAAACATCATGACCCAACATTACTGCTGATTTTAAAATAATAAAGCAGTAATCTTTAGATTAACCTTTCTAATGTGACCACTGTTCTCTTTACAGTCTCAAAGCTTAAATTAAGTCCTCCCACACAAATGAAATCAATAATGTCCAACCTGGGATTAAATTCTGATGTTACTGTAAATAACTCTGCATTGATGGGCAGCAGAGACACAAAGAAGCAGCAGAAGTAGCTTCATCTGCTCCTCTATCACTCTATTTATTACCGGTGTGTGTAATCAGATGGTGTCTGACTGTCTGCACTGCTCTGTTGGTCTGATCAATAAATATTGGCTCAAATTTATTACAAGACAGGAATTAAGGTGAATTGTAGGTGCAGAGGTAAACACAACTAAATAAAACGTATTACATAAAGTCACTGTAGGTGGTGCAAAAATAAAATAAAAATAAAACAATCAGAAAAAATATATAAAACAGAAGATGTGAAACCTTTGGAGTGAGGAATAATGAACACCGGGAAAGTGAAAACCAAAAATCATCTTTAACAGATCTAAAAACAACAAAGCCCATGCTCAATAATCCAGGTATACAATCCAACATTTTTCAGTCAGGTCATCGGGACAGTTTCTTTTTTTTTTTTTTTATGCTGAAACGTTCCAAAGATCTAAAAACAGTTTGAGTAAAAAGGTGCAGAAAGGAGAAATATGATGAAAAAAATACAATTTTAAAGTGAAAACTAGCAATTAAAAGATAAAGCAGTACGGGGATGAGGGATTTGAAAAGTGAATGTTTGTGGTTTTCGAGATTAATTTTTTGAGTTTTTCTGGTCACGAATTAAACAGAGAACGAACGTAAACCTTAAATGTTTTTGGTGCAAGACATTCAAAAGATTAGGAGTTACACAATGTAGAAGACCAAAGTTTTAGGTTGTTTTTTTTTTTGCTTGACCCAGGCAGCACAGGGTGAAGAATCCTGGAAGGAGCAATTTTATCCACGATTAGACAATGGGAGAGCCACGGGGTGGCCAAAGGTGGCCATGGCCATCATAGATTAAACTACGGCCACCCCAGTCATTTGAGGAAACTATACTTTTAAGCAATACAAAAACTAGAAAGCTTAGTTTATTAAATGATTGGGGTAGTTTGTTTACATACATACATTGGTAGCCATCTTGGATTTTGACTTGGCAACCTAATTTTAATAGTGGCCTTTCTTAGATCTATAGGTAGCCATACACCAATATGGAAGTCAAGTTGTCGCTTACGTTTCAAGTTATTGGGGCCAGGATGGTGTAGAGGTAGGGCAGCCAACTTGAGACCAGAAAGTCGCAGATTCAACTCCCCATCCCCGCCATGCCCACATGTCGTGGTGTCACTGAGCAAGATACCTAATCCCTAATTGCTCCCCGGGCGCTTACATAGCTGCCCACTGCTCCACCTGTGTGTATCTCACGTGTGATAGGTTAAATGCAGAGAATAAATTTCATCATTGTATGTTTCCATGCAATGATGACAACACATAGCACTTATCATGCTCACAACATGCATGGATGGACAGACAGAAGGACAGACAGAGGGTATTTCCAATTCCCTCTTTGCTCCGTGATGGGGAACAAAAACGAGAAAGGAGAGTAAAGTTTAAAATTATTTTGCCAAATACAGTGAGAGAATGATCAGGAAAAAATATCAGCAATAAAACGGAGTTAACTGTAAGAGTTATCCTGTTATCTGGCTGAGACCTCTGGTCTTTATCTCTGTTACCGGTTTAAAATCCCAGAAATGGTCTGAAAGCAAACACCTGAGGTAATCTTGGAACAGACAACCATGTCATCTGGTTTAGGTTTGTGTCAGCAGCACAGAGGAATTTATTCTGACTTCTAGTAGAGATCAAATTAAAGCTAAAGACAAAGGGACTCACAGACACGGAGTGCACACAAACAGTGAGTCGTTACTTTAACCTGCATTCCCATCATGCTTTGCCTGTCTTCATTTAACCGTTACTCCGTGGTGCATCATAGCGTCAAAGCAATTTCCACCAGCAGAGCAGCATTACATGGCTGATGATCAAGACCTTAATGCTATTTAATCTCTCAGTTGTCCTTTTATTCTCAGCATGAACTCAATTATTTTTTTCATGATGGAAACACAAGACCTCTCTGGGTCAGTGGTTTAGTATTGGCTTTCAGATGTAAAGAAAAAGAAAAAAAAAAGAAACAAGACTGGTATTCCCTGAATTCACCCAGGAAGGAGGGCGGAAACTGAAGCCTAAGGGCTGTCACTGTGAAGCACTGGGCCAGTCTAAACTGATGGACTGCTTCTATCATCGTGTTACACACAGCGTAACTGGGAATTAGGTTCTTGGCGGTGCTCTCTGAGACATGCCGCATGTCTAAACTTCAGCACAAGGATCGGGTAAATGGTTGAGGTCTTGCTCATGTCAACAAACAGCAAGATTTGGCTGCTGTACAAAGTGTGTCTAAGGTTGTGACCAAGTGAAACGACATAAAACGATATGTTTAGTCCATCAACTTGAAAAAATATATATTTACCTGCATAGATACCTGCAAGATATTTACCTGCACTAACAAATGTATACATTTTCCAACAAATAATGCAAAAAACAATGTAGATTTCTAAATGTTAGCTACTCCAGTGGTTTCCAACCCTGGTCCTTGAGGAGCACCATCCTGCATTGTTTAGCTGTTTCTCTGGAGTACACGCAGCACGGAGAGAACATGCAAACTCCACCCAGAAAGATTCCGGGCTGGGATTTGATCTGGCAACCTTCTTGCTGAGAAGCAACAGCTGTCCCAACTGAGCCACCGTGCTGCCCCACTAAAATAAATGCATAAGTAAAAATATAGACAAAAATAAACATGCTGCCGATTGTTTCCCATACGGTCTTCCAAGGGTTAAATGAACTTTGTTTTGGTGTTAAAGCCTCACCTCGAAGAGTTCATCTGCCGTGTCGTAGCGGATCGAGGCCGGCGACACATCTGCCGGCTGATCGGTGCACCACTGCAGCTCGTTGAGGCAGTTGACACTGTCGAAGTCGCTGGTATCCAACTGGGAGAGGTCGATGTCTGGGAAATCAGTGTCCAAGCGGTCCGAACACACCTCCTCCCCATACTGAAGATGAAAACAGAAAGGGGAAAGTTTGTGTTGAGTAAGCACCATACTTGAAGCACAGTTCCTTGTCATTTAGGTCTTTTAAGATATCACAAGTGTCCCAAAAACGTCAGACACTTTGTAAAATGTGAGCCCAGAAATAAAACTAAAGCTGCTGATAATAGATCTCTGGTGAGTTGTGAAGAAATATGAACTCTTTATTATCTTAACCTCCCTTAATGACGTAGCAAGGAAAATTATATTCTCTCTGTAACCATCACTCTTTGAAATGCTACCAAACATGGGAAACAGCTCTCCTTCTGAAACTGATGCAGTTGGTGTTTTCTGTGAAGTTCATCACTCAGAGCTGCAGTGCCATTGTCAGAACTAAAGGTTTAGTTAGTTTCCCCTGAGCTACCCTCTCTGAAATATGCATGTAGTCGAAGCACTGGGAGGCACTTTGGATAAAAGCCTCCATGATGTGGCGTTCACTGTATATTATTACACTGCTCATTGTCGGAGTCAGAAGGCGCTCTCATCAACAGCCCTTCATCTCTTAACAGCCACTCATTAGAGATATAATGAGATTTCCACGTTAGAGGTGGTTCAACACTGAAACCAGTGGAGGGATCTGTCCTGTCACCCTGAATTACCATTCAGAAATTGTGTCACAAATGCCAGGAGTTACTGCTGAGGTGCTTCCCGGCCTTTTATTTCGCAAATCTCCCAGTGGCTCAGAGCAAAGTGACCCAAGGGGTCTTCAGGTGATTGCTTCTCTTTTGTTGGCTGAGGGGATGTTTATCAGTGCAATAAGCTGCACTGTTCAAGCAGGTTCTTTGTTAGCCACAGTGGTGTATTACTGATATATCCTTTTTGTTTCTGTTCCTTTGAATAGGTAAAATCTCTCCGGGTAATTTGAACTTATTACAGTGCTTTGCTTCAAACCCCCAAACCCTCAGAAAATGCCCGTTCAGAAATTCAAGTCCTCCGTAGGCGCAATAATGTCTTGGATAACATGTAATCCATGAATGTTACAAGGAGCTTGGAAACCCTATATTAAGGCCAGAAGATTTCTTAAACAGTGGTGTCCATTCTTGGAGGGTCCACTGTCCACCATGTTTTAGGCGTTTCTCTGCTTTAACATATCTGATTTGAGCAGATAGGGGATTGATAAGCTTCTGGAAAACTCGAGAACATGCTGAAGAGGTAATTGAACCATTGAGCAGGGCAGAGAAATGACAAAAACATGCAGGACAGTGGCACTTAAGGAGCAGGGTTCAGCGCCACTGCTTTTCAAGAACCCTTAACAACCAGCAGAAAACACAAATGGTAAATGGACTGTACTTATATAGCGCCTTTCCATCTTATTTCAAGATACTCAAAGCGCTTTACACTACAATTTGCGTCCTCATTTACCCATTCATACAGCACTCTACTAGATCTCTACAAAACTAATTGAACAAATTATTCTAATGAAACTAATCAATGCTTTTAGATCACATTCATGCACTGATGGGACACAGATCAGAGGCTATGAGGGGTTCAGTGTCTTGCCCAGGGACACTTCGGCATGTGACAGCTGGTGGATTTGAACCCCTAACTCTCGCATTGGAGGACGACTGCTCTAACCACTCAGCCACAGCCACACCTGTTAAAAAAAGTTCAGTTAAAAAAAAAGTTCAGTTCAAGAACTTATAAAACTTTTAAAAAAATTTTAAAAAGACTGATTGCTCATTAAAACCTTTCAAGTCTGCTCAAAATTGCTTTGTTAGAACTTCTAGAGCTCACTCATGGACTGCAAAACCTGCCAAACCCTTTCAAATGCACTAAAGAGTCCCCTAAAACTCCTACATGCACAACTGGCACATTTAAAACATCTGGTAACCTGCTAAAAAGCTTCCCAAACCCCTTCAGGTCTGTACATTTTTTTCTTAAAGTGTGCATAAAAAACACTACCCATTTCTTCAAAACAACCCTTCATGATATCGGCAACTCCCTCACAAGGTTATTACACGTTGTTACACGATGCAACATATGTGAGTGTTTAACTCTTTTAAAGCCCTTTTTCATAAGCATCCACTTTATAAAACTTGTAAAACCTAAAAGTATTATTTTATAAATGCAAGAGTTAACTTTAACCTCTCTAGGTTCATGAAGACTGACAACTTAAGTTGTGATAGAAAAATTAAGAAAACCCATATACTGTAAATATCCCCTGTACGTGTTCAGAAATCACTTAAGACTTTAGGAAACGTTCACTCAGGAACAAATGGAAACCTCTAGTGAACTTTTAAAAGCACACTTATTAACTTTTAAACCTGCAGCATATTAAATAGAGTCTATGTTGTCTGCCATTAATACACGTGGCTCCAGACTGAAGCTTTTTGTTGTCATTGTGAGAAAAGCAGAAAAGACGGGCAGGAAGTGAGCATACGTGACTCGCTGCGAGGGAACCAACTGTTGTCTCCGGGGGGCAGGAAAAAGACAAAGGAGGAGGTATTTACTGAAGGAGTCAATAAAAGAAGAGAGTGGAGAGAACGATTACCAGTAGAATGCGGCTCAACTGGTTTTTATTTTGTTGTCGTGCATGACGCAGCAGAAATCTGTGCGTGCGTCTGAGAGGATGCAGATATCAACAGAAGTTTTATGGCACGTTTGAGGAGGAAACGCGCTCGGCTTCCAGTCCATCAAACGCCCATGCATCAACGTTTATCTTTTCTTCTCTTCTCACTGAGGAAGCAGACAAGGTTTACCAGTTCAACTGATTTTCTAACGGAAACAAACACACGGTTTTCACTCACAAGGCAACCGTTCTGCTTTGGTTCAGTCTCGTTTCAGTTTCAAAGTTAATTGTGTGAATGTTTTTAAGCAATCCAACTATCGTGATCCATTTTTCTTCCGTACATTTTTCAGCGTGTTTCTCGTCCTGCAGTTTTCAAGCAATTTCAACAAATCATAAATCAAAACGTTCAGCTCTTTCAGGACAATCTTGCTATGACTTTTGGTATTGGTACAACTTTAGCTTTTTCAAATATTTTAGCCTTTTTGTCTTTTTTTTTTTCTCATATAAAATGAAATGAGCTCATTTTACATCCTTCAAATCTTTAGATCTGTTTACAGTAGTTCCTCGCTATTTTGCGGTTCGTTTATCGCAGACTCATTCTATCGCGGTTTTTCAAAATAAGATTGGACATAACACCCAGCTGACTGATTGATGGATGAGCCACACGATCAGCATGGAATTTTTATTTAAAATATATACATTTTTTTATTATTTAGCATGTGCTGCACATTTGTGCAGCCCAGAGCTGCAGAAAAAGCTTCCTCCTTCAACTTTATGCAGCCCATACTGCAGGATAAACTTCCTGCTGCAGCTGATCAGCTGTTCTCCGTGCAGGGCAGAAAAGTGGGTGTGGCCAAGAGCGCTCGCAGGCAAAGCACAGAGGACGAAGGGAGCTGAAATCATGACATTCTGTGCTCTTTGAGAGCGTTTAAAGTTTAGAAACATTATCTAGGACATAGCAAGAGTGTATATATATAAATAAACTACTACTTACCACTTGTACTAATATTCTTACTTTGAGGTTTTTCACTTATCGTGGATCTTCAGGGTACGAATCCCCGTGATAAACGAGGGACTACTGTACTTCCTTTTACTGCTCCTTTCACATTTTGTTCTGATTCAGCTTCATTCAGCTTCCTTGTGGAAAATTTAACTTTTTTCAGCTGCTTTCAGCTAATTTCAGCTGGTTTTGTTCCTTTCAGCTTATTTGTGCCAACTACAACGTTTTTGTGTTTCTTCTAACTTCTTTCTGCTAATTTCAGCTTGTTATGCGCCTTTCAGCTTATTTGTGCAAGTTTCAGCTTTTTCTATTTCAGCTAGTATATAACTGTTTGCATGCTAATTTAGGCCTTTTAAGCTAATTCCACATTCTTTGCTATCATTTCAACTTTTCTCAGCCTAATTCAGCAAAAATGTGCTCTCGCCACTTCCTTTTTGCAATTTCAGCTTATTTCTGCTTTTAAAGCTACTTTCAACTGTTTTTGTTTTTACTAATTTCATCCTTTTTTTTTTAGATAATTTCCACTTTTTGTGCTAATTTTTGCTTCTTTCAGCCTAAACGGGCAAACGTGTTCATTCTGCTTTCTTCTGCTAATTTAAATTTGTTCTACTTTTTCGGCTACCTATTTTTAAGCTAATTTCAACAGTTTTCAGATAAAATCGAGTTTTCTTGGTAATTTCTTCTACTTTTAGTTTAATTAACTTATTTCTGCTAATTTAAGCTTGTTCTATCTTGTCTTATCTTATACTCCTTTCAGCTTGTTTATAGCTAGTTTCAAGCTATTTAGGCTACTATTTAGCTGTTTTATGCAATTTTTAGCATTTCCAGCTAATTCCACATTTGTCATCTCATTTCAACTCTTTCCACTTCCTTCTCATGGGTTAAGCTTCTTTTTGCCTTTTCAGCTACTTTTTAGATGTTAGGATGATACATTTGGCTATTTTAGCTGATTTCCTAATGTTTGTGTTAATTTCTTCTTATTTAAACCTAATTCAGCAAATATGTGTGTTTCTACGTTCTTCTGCTAATTTAGGCTTGTTCTTCCAATTCAGCTATATTTCAGCATGTTTTGGCTAATTTCAGCTGTTTTTCAGCAAGTTCTTCAACAATAAGCATTCACACTGCATTTTCAGAGAAAATACAATTCATCTAGTTTTATTAGCATTTTGATGGCAATCAACTCATTATTTGTAAGTTTAATTTAGACATGCTGCAAAAATATATGTATAGTATAATTAAGGAACATGTTTACATATTAAATATAATGTCAGCATTGTTCAGAGAGGAGCAACCAATAAAAAGTGCATAGTGTTCAAATTAAATAGTGTAACTGCAGATGAACAGGAGAAGGTCTGCTGTATGTAAATCATTACCTGTTGCAGTGTGTAGGCTCGGAATAAGGGATTCAATTTGTCGTAAAAATGTATTCGGTTGTTGGTTTCGTCCACTGTAATGATT